CCATATTCATAAAAATATTTTGAAGACAGTTGCATTTCACAGACTTCATTAAGTGATTACTTCTTTGCCCATTCTTCTCTTTCTTTTCTTTCCCGAATAACCTCTTTGAGATATGGCTCAAGGTAGAATTTATCCTCCTCTTATTTTGTCCACTGCTCTTTAGGCAAGATCTGATGCTTCATGCTCAGATCCAGGGCTCTCTTAATGCGAAACACCCTGTCATTATAAAGGTTTTCTGGAAGCCTTCTTATGGCTTCTTTTACATCTTCATCTTCATATATTGTATCATCACGCATTAAGCCCAGCTTATTGAACCCTGCAGCATTGTAATACCACTTCCGAATACCTTCCAGCCACCGGCTTGATGCTGCAACAGCCGGGCGGCCCGCCATCTTGACCCGAGGCTCTTTTTCTTTCTGAAGAGAGGTGACTGCTACCCCCTCTTCCGGTGATGAGGAGGACAGGCAGGTTCCTTGATTTTATGCTTTTATCTGTTTGCCTCTTTCATACATATCCTGAAGCTAAAAGCAGCAGACTCTTTCCTCTTATAAACGAAATGGGGGAAGTGAGCACTGCACTGGGAGGGAAGGGGGTTGCTTAAGGACAGTGTGACACTTTGATCCTCCGGAGCCAAAGCCATGAAGGGAAAGTGGACAATACCACTATCAGTATCGCAAATGACCCCAATGTCCTTGCAGGAAGTGAATTTTTTCCCTGTGATCTTTGTGGGAAAGCCTTATCAAATGGATAGCATAGTACTGTATCAGGAGAATCAGATGACTTGTCTGGTATGGCTTATTTAGCAAGGATGTGGGAGGGGGAGAAAATAATGTAACAATGACATGTATATATAGAATATAAATATATTTGGAATTAAGAATTTAACTCAATTTATGAAATAGACTTAGGCATTTAATATACACTTGTTGATTCAATGAACATATTTTTAACAGACCTGTTTCAAGCTATGTAATATAAACATGTGAGATATAGAAATAATTTCTATTATTACTCTTCAGAGAGATGTGATAGTTTCTAAAATCTCAGCTGCCTGCTCTTTGGCCAGGCCATCAAGAATCTATGAGCACGTGGTTGTGTGCACCAAGTTCGTGCACAGTGACCAGCAAGTCTGACCTGATCCTACAGCAGAGGAGGTGAACCGGCAGTTAGCTGTGGGAACATACTGCTGCGGCAGGGGGCAACGTGGGACCTGCGCATGCTCAGGTGTGGATGGCTTCTGGTTAGCGCTGCCCTTCGTATGCTAGTATTAGGAAAAGGATGTGGGTTTGCTAAGAAGAGTCGGCCAGTCACACGGATGTGTTATACTCATGGAAATTCAAAATACTAGAATAGAGAAGAAGCCAGAAAGGCCCAGTATACTGAGCAACCCATGCCATGGTCCTCATTGCTTATAAACTGTCATAAATGGATCGGGATTTTCTGACAATTCCTGTCAGTCGCTCATTTTCTGAAAGCCTCCAATAATATTATCTTCATAATAAACCCCAAGTTGTCTGAAAGTAGCTTTTGAACTGTGCCTCCACTGAGATTCTGTGAGCTACCTGTGAGTCGAGTCCCTACAATTTTTTTTTTTTTTAAATTTAGTGCAGGGTCTACAGGGTCTCACTACACAAACTGGACCAGTAGTGATCCTCCTGTTTTCAGCTCCCCAGTGCAGGCACATGCCTCCACGCCGAGTCTCAATTGCCATCTCAGCGCACCCCAGGTATGGGGCAGGCAAGGCACGCCAGGGATCAAACCTCCAACCCGTGTGTCTGCCAAAGCAGGTGCTTCAGTCCCCTGAGCTAGCTGGCCAGCCCTTTTATTGTAAGGAATTTGACTTTTTTTTTTTTTTGGTACTGGATCAAACTCAGGACCTTGTGCTTGCGAGGCGTGCTTAGGCTGCTGAGCTATCTCCTCAGCCCAAGGATCCCCACAATTTTTTGATGGTCACCCCGAGCCCTCTGTAGCCTCTTGGAGAGGCTGGGGTTGTCTCCATGGCAACCTAAGCAGTGATGTAAGATTTCTGTACTCACCATCCAGGCTCAAATCCCCACTCTAACATAGAGGCATTGAGCAAGTCAACAAACAGCTCTCACCTCAGCTTCCTGTAAAACAGGCGCTAATCATGATGACTGTGTTTATCCAGGGGTTGCCATGCAGAGGACCAGGACAAAGCCAGGCCTTGGTCCATGCCAGCTGCTCTTCTCTCAGCAGCATGTCTTATACTGAGGGGCATGTTGATCACTCTGGTCCACTCTCCCCTTCTATTAGTCTAGCTTAGCCTTTTCTTATCTTTTGATGAACTACCTCACACATCTTCCTGCTGATCATTTTGCTTCTTGCTATTCCCTTTATGCCACTTCCAGTGGACATTTTTGAAATCACAGGTCTGTTCAACATATTCCTTTCAACCAGACCCCAAGTGGTTTCTACAAAAATAGGATCCAATCTCCCTAGTGAAGCATCAAAAATTCTCCACAATTTATGCACCAACTTTACCTTCTATTTAAAGTCTATGCTACAGTCAAACCAGAATGGGTCTTGCATTTTCCTATTGTCTCGATCAGACCAGTCTCTTCCAGCACATTTTTGGTTGTGCAGGATGTACAATCCTTGGAATATGGGGCAAGGGATACTTGCTCTAAACTATACCTAGGGCTGGCAGCAGTCCCTCGGCCCAGAAGAATGGTTACTAGTTTATGTTTGTCCTGACCATTTCTGTTCTACTGACCGTTCAAGATGTAGGTTAAGTGCTAATTCATGAAAGATTACATCGGGCCAAGTGGACAGTGTTGGAGTCTTAACCACCTGATATATTGAGAAAGCACGTCACGCTATGACCTCAGGTTAGAGAATCTGCTCTCCAGGATACAGTGAACCCAGTGAGGAATGCTCTTCCAGGGGTTATGGGCCACATCCCACCCATCAGCAACCCATCAGTGGCTCTGACTAAATTAAAGTGGTCCTGGCTTACTCATACCCCTGGAAAATGTCTTGAGGAGGAAAGGAACAATATCCAGGTCCTCAGATTATTTTTAAAAGTAAAGTTGCAAATATAATTTCCAGCAGGCAATGAAGAACCAACCAAGGTGAGAAACAAAAACTATGAGTGAGAACCACATTGTAGCAAAACTGCTAAGAACCAAGCACTGGCCTTAAAATCAGTTAGAGAAAAAGATAAATCATTTTCAAAGGAACAACAGTTTGAGTTATAGCTCATCTTTCAACAGAAATGATGAGACCAGAATATAAGAGCTATCTTTAAAGTGCTAACAGAAAATATCTCCAATGTAGGCTTTGGCACCTGTCTTTCAAGAAGGCTGAAATAAAGTTATTTTCAATTAAGCAAAAATTTCAGCCTCAAGGACACTTGCACACTAAAGGAGATCTACAGAGGGTTCTTTTATTGGGGAGAGACTGGCTCAGTCCACACAGGGGGCAGGGCTGGCGCAGCATGTGGTGCCGGGATTGAACTGTGGCCCCTGCACTTTGCCTAAGCTTGCCTAAGCAGGGCTTTAGACCACTGAGCTATCTTGCCCGCCCTTACAGAGGATTCTTTAGTCAGCAGAAAGATATCAGAAGAGCAGGTCAGATGTGGGAAGAAATGAAGAGTAATAACAATAACAATAATATCTTGTGGGATTTAAAATATACATGAAATTAAAATACCGCAATGTTGGCAGAACAATCAAGGAGGAACACACATTCACACATGTACATACAAGCACACCAATATACACATAGATACAGTGTTTTAAGATTGTTGACCTCTGGTCTAGAATGAGAGTAAACATATCAAAGAAATAATTCAAGAAGTATATTGTAATTTGTTGGGTAGAGTAATAAAAGAATAAAAGTATTTGAATGTACCTAATAATATAGCCTGAAAATATACAAATTTTAAAATTACAGAACTAAAAAGGAGAAATATCCATATTTATAATCATTGTAGGAAATTTAACCGCTAGTGATATAGCACTTGCCTACCATGCGTGAGGTCTGTGCTTCATCCCAGCATTATAAAACAAACAAACAAATGAAAACCAAGTCCCCAGCCCCAAATAAAAACAAAAACACAACCTGAAAATAACACATACTGCTTTTATCACTGACAGAAAAAGCAATAAATAATAAATAAGCAAGGAGAAGATGATCATTAACAGGCTTGTTCCCCCCAATGTGTATTATTACAGAGGATTGAAGAAATACCTAGTTTTTAATTGCATATAGAATATTTACAAAAATTTATCATACACTTTGCTATATCATCTCCACAAACTACAGAGGATACAAATCATCTGGGTTACATAGTGAATGCAAAGACAGCCTGAAATATATAGCAAGACCCTGTCACCGAAAACCTATGATATAAAAGAAAATTTCAGGTACATTTAGCTCCCCAAGCAATCTTAAAAATAAGAAATAATTGATGTAATTCTATGCACACTTACAGAGAAAGACAAATTAACATATTATAAGAATCAGGAAATTTATGTTAATCTCATCATAAGCATGGATATAATTTGTCTTAGAAAAACAAGAGTGGGGAACTGTCTCTGACATATACTAAAGCCTATTATAAAAGTACGGTATTCAAGATGAGGACAAACAGTAATAGATCTATGGAATAGAATGAGGAACCTGGGAACAGACCCATGACTTACCTAAATACTAATATTTTAATATTTTAGAGTAGGACAAGAATCATCGTCTCAGAAAGGGGACTGAGACAGCTAAATATCTATAGAGAAAACATGAAAGTGGACACTTCTTACACATCACTTATAAAACAATTCTGGAGATCTAAGTTAGGGAGGCATAAAAGGGTCTACAGGGTGTTCAGGGTTTCACTACTAGATTGGACTCATGGTGACCTGCCTTTTACAGCCTCCCAAAAGCATGGCAGGCCTAGAGATCACGATCCCTGGCTCCTGCCTCTGCCTAAGCAGGTGCTTTAATCCGCTGAGCTATTTGGCCGGCTCCAAGATTTCTTAAAAAATATTAGTCAAAATGTAAAAGATTTATGAATTATACTTTATTAAAATTACATTTTTAAAAGCCAAAGATAACAGAATGAATGAAAGGACTAGTTATCTACTGGGGAAAATATTTGTAACACATCTCACTAACAATATAAAACATGTTTCTCCAAATTAAAAAATAATTTAGCTAAATCAAAGTGGTCTCATGTACTCAATTTAAGAATCTTTTCTTTTTGTGTATGGTACTAGGGACTGAACCCAGGATCTCACACGAAGTAGGCAAATACTCTGAGCTATAGCTTCAGCCTTTGTAAAGAAAAATTAAAAACAATTTGAGGCAGGGTCCTACTAGATTGTCCAAGCTGTCCCTAAAAGTGTGATCCTCCTGCTTCAGCCTCCGTAGTAGCTGGAATTGCAGGTGTGCACCACATGCCCAGCTAAGAATTGCCTTTTCATTTTGTGATATTATAAATAGTTGAAGAATAATATGTACAATCTGTCTTGTCTATGCTGCAGTGGATGGTGGCCACTGTTTCAAAAGTACTGTCAGGAGTTAGAGCCCTATCACTAATTCTTATAGAACTTCTGAAGTGTGATTTTGTGATAACTTCTATTTCCATTTTAACTGTGTTAATAGATTTTAATCAGAAACAAGGCAGGTTTACAATTACATTGTACATGGACAAGCAGAAAGTTATGATCATTCTTGCTTAATAGTTTGTAAAGCAGCTAATATTAAAAGTAGACTAATCAATGTTAGAAGTGAAATTTCCATAAGCACTTATATATCACTGATTTAAAATCTGTACATATTTAGGCTACTATATACCTCTCCCTTTTCCTCTCCCCTTCTCTCGCCCACCCTGAGTCCCTCTGTCTCTGCTTCTCCCTCTTCCCTCTCTGCTGCTCTTTGTTGCAGTTCTGGAGGTGAGACCTCTGGCCTAGCACACGCTAGGCAAGTATTCTACTGCTGAGCTACATCTGAGGCCCCAGGTACTATTTCTTGAATGATAATGTAAAGTTTTTTGTTTCTTTCTTTTGCTGTACTTGCATACTTTATAAACATTACTTCTGAGTGAAAATCTGGAAAAGCCCCAAGCTTAATCTTTTACTAAGATTCATGTAACTTACTTAAAAATAGGCTACAATTATTTTTCTGATAAAATCATAATCTCTGAGATCCTTATCTAACATTATCCTTCTGTTCATAAAATGTTTATTAATGCCTTCTCTTTCAAAACTCTGTAAACAATATTTTTCTATATGCTAAAAGATATTTTTCTTAAAATGCAAGTATTTCCATGCACACTATCTGTTAAATATTGTAGGGTATAAAAAAATTAACATCTGTTCTGAAGAAAGGATCTTACAAGAATTTTAAAAATCAATAGCAAACAGTAATCTTAACTATTGTTTTACATAGAGTAGCTGCTCAGAAAAGCTTGTTGTATTGAATCATATCGAGCACTACGTAATATCATTATGATAGGACCACCTCAACCTTCAGTGAAAAGTCCAGTTTGATGACATAAGAAAAAAATTATTCACTTAGGACCTATAATTGAAAGTCACTGTCCTGTCAGAGGTGTCTATAACTAGGTGATGCCTCTCTATTTATCCCACATATACTGGATGCCCCCCTCCCACCCTGCCAGGCCCTGTGCTAGGTTCTGTGCACACAAAGATGGACAGGAGCAAAGCCTTCCCTGGAAGCCACTCACAGCCTCATGTGGCCTGGACTTGCATAAGCACCAACTTTCCTTCCTTCTTACTCCTATCATGCAAGTGTGCTCAGTGACGGTGTCCACTCAGGCCAAGGGGGAGGTGGAGGTCAAGCCCAGGCCCAGGAGAGGGTGGAGAAGACAGCAGGAAAGGGGTCCCTGGATTCTGCTGGGGAGATTCTGTGTGGACTGAAAGGTAACGTGGTGGGAAATAAAAGAAAACTTGTCAGTGCTCATGATTGGCTAAGATGAGATTTCTTGCTACCTTCTAAGACATTTAGGGCCTGTGTGACTGTCATTACTGGGGCAGAGGCATCTCAGTACCCTATAGCGGGGACCCATGATTTGAGAAAGGAGGGTTTGCCCAACTCAGGCTACACAACAAATGTGGCAGACCGGTAGAAGCAGGTGTGGAACCAAGGAGGCTATCAGTTGTTTAGTAAGACTCAGACACAGGCACTGAGTCCAGATGCTGAGTGCATAATAATGCCTTCTTCAGTGACTGTCAGTCAGTTATGGTGAGGTTCTCACCTTGGACAGACCTGAGGCCAGGAAGCATAACTCAGTGCTGAGCAAAAGAATCTCCTTTGGAGGATGAGTTAAAAAAGAAATGCTGGGCTGTGCTGCCCTCCTCGGGGACACAGGCCACAGGGGAGAGAGATCTGTAATATTCGTCTTCCCCATCCAGAACTTTGATTTGGCTGCAATGAAAAAAAAGAAGAGAATTTTCAACAGAAAAAGAAAACAAATGCTACATCACAGAGACAGCTGAAGTTGTCATTGGGTAGAGGGTTGGCTCCTAAGACTGGAGGGAAGGACAGCCCACCAGGCTTAGGGCCTCCCAGCCTAGAGATAGTAGGGTCTTGTCTACTTCGTCTTTCACTTCTGGGTCATGCAGTGATAATGGGTTCATTGTGGTACTGTTTGAAAGTTGTGGACACGTTGCAACTTGATTTGTGTGATCCAATTGTCTGACTCTATCTGACTTCCTCTAGGTGAGAAAGTTCCTTTCCTGTCCTCCCCCAATTCTCCAATGAGTCCCAAGCATCTACTTCATTGCTCTTCTCAGCCAAGATGTTGCCCATCAAAGGAGCCACAAAATCATTACTCTCCTCTTTCACCACTGAGGAATGTTTGCTTTTGTGTGTGCTCTCAGGTTCCTGGTAGGACAGTGTGGATGAAGTGGTCTATTCGTCTTTTATGCAATGCTCTTCTTTGTGGAAGATTCTTATACAAGCTTCTGCACGTTTTCTATTATAAAGGAAGTAAAATTCTCTAGAATAATGATGACACATAACATTTGTCCTTAGCTGACAATTTCAGCCTTTCTGGACAAAATAGAGTCAAGTTTCGCATCCTTGCTACTGTGAAAAGTAGTTTCCAGCATCAATAACAGTGACAATATCGGGTTGAATATTTTTAGAAGCTTCTCTGGAAAGTTTTGCATTTTCTGTAATATCACAAAGGACCCCTTCTGTTTACAGTTGCTTAGAACTAAGAAGACAGATATTTACCCAAGTTTTCTTGGCTTCCTCTTGCTCCCTTGATATTCTAGAGTTCCCTGTGGAGAGGCCCAAGAACACACAGTCAAAGCAAAGCAGCAAGTCGTTAATTTTTAATTCAAAGTGATTTTGTGTTGAATGCAAGCAGATGCTGATAATATCAGAAGTCACAGCATAATTTTTTTGATCAAAGGGCTCAACTGAGCCTGATGAAGCATGCATCTTGCTCGTCTTTGATAAACCACATCAATTATTCACCGTGAAGGCAGACATCCTGACATGAAAGCAACAGATAAAGAGCCTAAGCACATGTTCACGAGACAGCATAAGAGAGTGGGGGTGGGGCTGCAGGGGCTGGAACAGGTATTAATAACAGAATTATTAACTGGAAACAAAGCCAGCAAAACAGCTTTATGGCCACTTTGAACTCACATTTAACTGGTTATAGTACATAGTGTCCTCAGGGCTACTCAACATTTTGGGCTGCTGACATCGTCGGCGAGGTGTCCGCTGCTTCCGTGCAAGCCTGTCCTCGGAATCTGCAAGCAGACAGCAAAAGTTCACCGTAAGCTATTCCAGGTGTTGGGAAAATTCAGTGAACAATGGCTGTTCATGTCAATGCACCTGGGAGGACTGGGACCCATTTGGATGCATATGCTAGAAACGTGGCTGACGACTAGGAGAAATGTCATCCTAAAGACGCACATACACGGGAATCGCTGAGTTAAACAAGGCTGCCATCTGTAACTGTGCCTTCATCGCTCTGATCCGAATCGGCAGCCCGGAGTGACAGGGAGCAAATTGGATTGTCCGCTTTGGGGAGGTACAGGGTGGAGGTCAGCTTTTGCAGAGCAGAGTGCCCTCAGCAGGAAAACTGTTAGGACAACCGAGGCAATCTGGGATCATTTGCACCACATCCTACGGCGTGAGTTCAAAGACATCTGGAGCACACATACTCTTGGGGAGATGAGAAGCAAATTTTTCAGTGGCACACACTTTGCGGGAAAAGAGCTTGAGCTAGGATGTACTAAAGTGCTTTGAACAGGACCACGGAGCAGGCAGTCTCTGGAGGTGGCCAGAGGAGGGGAGAGGGCGACTGCATGATCCCATGAGCAGTCAGGCAGCCTTGATTTCAGAACTCTGGACCCAGAGCGCAGGGGCTGAGGAGGCCACGTGTCGATGAAGTCATGACTCGGTTTCCTTCCCCGTGAGCGATCCGCATGAAACCTGCCGCTGCGCTGGCTGCATACCTAAAGCAGAAGTCAGCGGTCTTAACCTTTCCCCAAACAGGCACGTCACATCTCACACACACGTCGATACGCAGAGTCTCACCTATAAATGCCATAATATAGGGAAAAGGGCTTTATCTACACAGAGTGTAATAAATTATTGATTTAAAAATTGGAGACTTGTGCTCAAAATCGTATTTTTAAATTTTTTAAAGAATGTATTTGGTTATTAAAGAGTCTCACTCCGCAGCTCGGACTTGTGGTGATCCTCCTGCTTTCAGCCTCCTGAAAGCAGGGACTACAGCTGCGTGCCACTATGTCCAGGCTCTGGCCGGCTCAGCCCACCCTGGGGACAGGGCCAGTGCAGCGTGTGGTGCTGGGGATCAAGCTGCGGTCCTTGCACTTACATAAGCTTGCCTAAGCAGGTGATTTAGTCCATTGAGCTATCTCACAGCCCCCTCGAAATCATATTTTTTTTCAGAACTAGGGATTGATCAAAATAATATTTTAACTTCTATAGATTTCCACTTTTGTAGGAAAACCTTTGGAAAATTTTCCTTCTTAATAGCATATGCTTTAAAATGTTTTTAATTTAATTTCAACTGATATATAAATATAGGGTACTACCTATCTTTTTATATATTTGTACATTGTGAAATGTTTAAATCAGACATTTATCAAACATTTATCATTTATTTATTTTGTATTTTAGGGAAGGGTCCACAGGGTATTCAGGGTCTCACTACTAGATCAGAGTCATAGTAATCCACCTGTTTTCTTTCTTTCTTTCTTTCTTTCTTTCTTTCT